TTTCTGTTGGATGGTGCCAGGTCATTCAAGCTCACTAACATATTTCATAGATGATACATTGCACGAGACTATCGTGGCCTTGACCAGGCTTGAGATGTTCCCCTCAGCGAGGGATAGGTTCCAAAAGGAATTGACATCGAAGATAATTGATCCGATATTGCTGCCTGGAGCCACTGGGCGTAGCCATGAGTGCCATATTTCAGGGTCTACGATATACCTTGACCCGCAGCCATCAACGGCATCAATACCAGAGCTGCTTGAACGCCTAGTCAAGGTATTGGGCTTCTTGAAGCAATATGTTCCCGCGCCTATTGTGGAATCATTTTCGGAAATGTTCATTCCCTCGCTGTCTTCCAAGATAATCGAATTGTGGCTATCACCTGCTATTCCAACCGATCTTGAAGGCTTGGGACAGTTTGAGCAAATGCTCGATCATGTCCTCAAATTCACGAAGAACATTGAGAGTTATGAGTGGCGCGGCCAAGAAGAACTCATCTCTTGGGTCAACCAGGCTCCACGTCTCTGGATAGCTAGAAGGCGCGTTGATTCATTGGATCAAGTTCGGAGAATTCTCGCTGCTTCCCAAGGCACTACACAACAGGTTGAGAGAATTGAAGTCGAGAAGGTCTCCGGGAGTGATGAAGCGCTGCTGGAGAATGCTGCACCTGATGATTGGGACGCTGGTTGGGAAGAAGACAATGAGAGCGGCTCTAAGGGGAAGCAGCCCAGTAATTTCGACGATGAGGAAGACGTGAGTGCATGGGGGCTGGATGATGATACTGAGGAACATGACCCCAAAACGAAAAATGGCACAGCCACGGCATCTGCGGACAATGATGATGATGCTGGAGATGCCTGGGGCTGGGGTGATGAGGATGAAGAACAGAACGCCGAGGTCTCAGAGCCTAAGACACCAGTTGTGCCTGCAACTGTCAATGGCAAGGGTGGGGCCAGCCATTCCACTCCCAGAGAGGTTACTTTGAAGGAGAAGTACACCATCACAGACATCCCCGACTCTATTCTGGGTGTCGTCAAGCAACAAGTGGTGGACTCCAATGCCATATCCCAGCCTGCGTAAGTCTTTCATGGTCAGAGTTCTATAGTGATTCTAATACGTTGCAGGCATGCCCACTCACGTGTGGTTTCCTCCGGAACAGGACTTCTCGCACTCCCAACTCTGATATTGGCCATGTTCAAAGCCACAGCCTCGACTTTCTACGGTCTCAAATTGAGTGCTGGGCAGATGTATTTATATAACGACAGCCTGTATCTCGCCGGTCAAGTTCGTGATCTCGCAGAGGAGTACCAGATCACCAGGCTTCATGCAGATATCGAAACTCTTGAGAAATATGGAAAACTGGCTTACAGCAAAGAGATGCAGACCCAACGCACAATTGTCACAGACCTTCTAGATGGTGCACAGGGCTTCAGCCAATGCTCTGAGCAACCGTTCCTTGGCGAATGCGAAAATGCGGTCAGCGCAACAGTGGACAGAATTCGCGACGTTTTCAAAGAATGGCAGCCTATCCTGTCGCAGTCTGCACTTCTTCAATCGATCGGCTCATTGGTTTCAACTGTCATCAGCAAGATGATAATCGAAATTGAGGATTTGGGTGACATTTCAGAGCCCCAGTCACAGCGACTTGTGTCATTTTGCAACCAAGTGACTGGGCTGGAAGATCTATTCATCCCTGAGGGCCCAGATAACACCGAGCGTTCGCCTATGACGGCCGTCTACGTACAAAACTGGTTGAAATTCCAGTATCTGATCAATATATTGGAAAGCTCTCTTGCTGACATCAAATTCCTTTGGCTCGAAGGCGAATTGCGTCTAGAGTTTTCTCCAGACGAGGTCGTAGATCTGATCGAAGCTCTTTTTGCCGAATCCGATTACCGGCGTAAGGCTATCGCGGACATCAGAAGGGCATCACGAGGGCGATAGTCGTTAGCTTTACTTCCATGTATATAAACTTAGCAAAATGGCATATTGTTGTCTTTGGTGCATATTTTTGCTCTTCTACTTATCTAGTACGTAATGTTGCGGCGGGGAATCTCCGCACTTTGCACAAGTGGCCGCATCGGGTGCCGTATTTTTTTCCTCACTCGGTGGAGTTTTCTCAACTGCACTTTGAAGCGCTCTAGATCGCGCCCTTCATAACCCCCATATTTCCCTTCAGTGCCATTATGAACGGCGTTCAGGATTCGACGTCTGCTGCGGCCTCGTCCCAGTCTGCGCAGAGGCAGGTGCGTGTGCAGCTAGTTAGCAAGCAAGAAGACATTGCGCTGCCTGAGAGCACCGGCCCCATTCTGGTTCCCACAGGTATGAATGCATTTTGGCAGATCGCTGCCAGTCTGCCTTATATACACATACGTTCTCACTAACTTCTTTATCTATTTGTAGGATTGCGGAGATATGCGCTTTCTACCCTGGTGAACAATCTTTTGGGAAACGACAAGCCGGTGCCATTTGAGTTTTTGATCAATGGCGCATTCCTTCGGACTTCGATCGATGAATACTTGACGGCCAATGGCATATCTGCGGAAACTACTCTGGAAATTGAGTATATCAGAGCGTTGATTCCCCCGCTTCATATTGCTTCGTTCGAGCATGATGACTGGGTTGGCTCGGTGGATGTCCTCTCTGCGACCTCGCCAGCTACCTCTTGGGCTTCTGCGATCGTCTCTCCGGGGCAGGAGAGGATCCTATCGGGCAGCTACGACGGGTTGCTTCGTGTGTGGAATATGTCGTCTCAAATCGTCGCAACCTCACCATCCCCGGCTGATGGGGGACACGGCGCGTCTATCAAGGCCGCCAAGTTCGTCTCGCCGAATTCGATTGTGTCGGCTGGCCTTGATCGCACCGTTCGACTCTGGAAATACAACGAAAGCGATGATGGATTTTCAGGAAAGATCACCCCGCAGATTGAGCTCTACGGACACAAATCTGGTATCAACTCGTTGGCTGTGCATGCCCCCTCGAACCGTATTCTCTCCGCTTCGGCAGACCACAACATTGGCTTCTGGTCGACAAAGAAGTCAGATGCTCCAGCTGCTCCCGAGAACCTAGTTTCGTCTACTGCGTCACGGAGCTCCAAGCGCAGAAAGGTGAGCTCGTCCGTCAGCACCCCGCAGCGCGGCCCGCTTGCGCTGTTGTCTTCCCACACCGCGCCAGTCTCAGCTGCCATTTTTGACACGAACGACTCGACTGTCGGTTACTCTACTTCTTGGGATCACTCTCTGCGTACATGGGATCTGGTCACGGCCGCTTTAGTAGACACCAGATCGACATCCCATTCGTTGCTATCTCTCGAGCATCTCCCCGAGCACCACCTTCTTGCGACAGGTACTTCTGCTCGCCACATCACTCTCATCGACCCTCGTACGTCAGCGACAACAATCTCCGCCATGACCCTCAGAGGCCACACCAATGCCGTGGTTTCTCTTTCCCGCGATCCCCACAGCAGCTACGGTCTCATTAGTGGCAGTCACGACGGTACCTGCCGAATCTGGGATATCCGTGCTACAAAGACGGATAAGGACGGTGTTGTTGGCGAGAGCGTGTATTCGATCACTCGGAGAAGCTTGGAAGAGCAAGGTAAAGCGGATGCTAAGCGAGTAGGTGGAGAGGGAGTCAAGGTCTTCAGTGTGTGCTGGGACCGCTCGGTTGGCATTGTTAGCGCCGGTGAGGATAAGAGGATTCAGATCAACCGGGGTGAAGGCGTATTGTCTTCCGCATAAGAGTTGCACATATGGTTCTGGCGTTATACTTATAGGATGAAAAGTTTGGTTCTGACTCTTCGTATTAAACAAGCCGCTGTACGAGCTGATGTTTCCACTTGCAATATATCATATAATTGCTCTAAGAGGCAGCATGGAATCACTACTATGATCTCCTTAGAGTCTCAATGTTTCATTGTCTACATAAAATACATCTCCGGGGCGGAGAAGGTCAAGCCAGAACACTAATTTACAAAAGCAAGTTTATAACGCCATTCCATGCCCCAACTGAAACGAAGCCGCAGAGACCACTGGGGTCAATAAATGAATCATCATGTTAACCTCACAGTCTTCTCTCCATACGGTTGAGCTTGACAGCAGATTTAATCTAGAAATCATGTTAGAAAGATTCTTGCCTTGTGTAGTACCTCACGACCACATCCACCAGCGAAGTGCTCCAACACTCCCTGGTTTCATAGCTGGAGATATTTAAATATGCGTGTAAACCAACCTGGCTCCTCGTCCGCTGTCCCCGAACGGGCAAACCGAGCGCATGACGCCGACCACGGTAGGTTCCCGTCTCCTTCAGACGCTTGATGTTATCGAGGTACTGTCTGCGGAGGTCGTTCTCAATCTTCATATCGGACAAGGCGGCCGTGATATCGAGGACCTGCTTGTTCGCCAAGTCGCCAACCTTGCACGTTGGGTGGATATGGAAGCGGGCAAGCAGACGGGTCGAGGTCAAGTTACCGATGCCGAAAAAGGACTCCAGCGATTTCTGAATTCAGTCAGACCAGGCGTTGAAGGAAAGATGGAAGTTCGGAGTTGCTTGCCTTGACGAGGTTTCGCTCGGGGAAGTTAACGCCCAAAATGAAAACCTGATTGCTTATTAGCCACACACTTGAGAGAGACTTTGTACTGGCATAGTATTAATACATACCATTTTGACGGTTTGGCTTGTTCAGTGCTCCAGGGGATGTGATATGGCTCAAAATGCCTATGCGCTGCGCTATTCTTCTATCAACCTCCGCAGTCTGGCTCAGTTCAGCGCGGAAGAAATCGACCAGTAACAATGTTTCTCCGAACAAATCTGCGTAATTTCGATTTCTGCATACAGAAAATACATCCTAATTCTTCCGCGGTTGCGGTGCGGTGAATGAAAATTTCAAGTATTAACTGCAAAGATACAGTCATACTAATCCCGATACGGTTATGGTGCTCTTGGCATCTCCGCAGTAATGCAAGCTGGCCTCCGTTCGCCGCATGATTGCTCCTTGAGTCTCCTGTGTTCTCAAGCAATTGTTAGAATTCTCCTACATTGGAGACATCCTGAGCAATCATGAACTTCAAGAACCTTTTCCTGTCTTTCTTCTTCGTCCTGGCGGTTGGACTTGCTCTTGTCCACGCCGAAGAGGCCCAGCCCCGGGGTCCCAAGATCACCAGTAAGGTATGTATAGATGTGATCTTCAGCACTTACAACCATTGTGAATTGCTTTCCAAGTATGACATACTAACTGTATTTACATATAGGTGTTCTTTGATATTGAGCACGGAGACAAGCCTCTGGGCAGAGTCGTGCTTGGCTTGTATGGCAAAACTGTCCCTAAGGTACGTGATCGTCGTCATGCTATTGTCACTCGGAGCTCCTAGACTGATAATATTACTTTTGCTTTTTTAGACCGCTGAGAACTTCCGGTATGATTTCACGAGCTCTATGAAGCTTCTGCGCCATTCTAACATTGCTCGTATTCAGTGCTCTCGCTACTGGTGAGAAGGGGTTTGGCTATGAAGGGTCTACCTTCCACCGTGTCATCAAGGACTTCATGATCCAGGGTGGTGACTTCACTCGTGGCGATGGTCAGTACTACAAGGATCTTCATTATATGTGTACAATGCCCCTGCCATATGCTGACCCTTCAAACGAAAGGTACCGGTGGAAAGTCTATCTACGGTGAGAAGTTCGCCGATGAGAACTTCAAGCTGAGGCACACGCGCAAGGGTCTGCTGAGCATGGCCAACGCCGGCAAGGACACCAACGGCTCCCAGTTCTTCATCACCACCGTTCCTACACCGTAAGTCCGTGCCAAACCTGTATAGCGATGACAGCCAGCTTACGATTTCGGGATAGTTGGCTCGATGGCCGCCACGTTGTCTTCGGTGAAGTGCTCGAGGGCTACGAGATTGTCGCTCAGATTGAGAACGTGCCTAAGGGCCGTTCTGACAGACCCGTGGAGACTGTCAAGATTGTCAAGAGCGGAGAGCTGGAGTCTGAGGACAAGGCTGAAGAAAAAGGTAGCAGCCACGAGGAGCTGTAGACCTGTTTCCTGAGGTCTCAGCCTGCTTCTCGATAAGTCTGTGATGTGCTGATCGCTTGTAAAGAAACGAGCTCTGAAGAAGAGTCACAACCTTCAGCAATTGCTGTTGTTCCTTCTCCAACCCCTTTGTCTATGACATCTGATAACGCTCCTTACATCTTCCCGAAATTCGCAGCGCTTGCCATTGTTATCGGTCTCTTGGTCGTCCTGGTCCGACGCAGCTTTAAGGGAGAACAGGAGAAGGCTGAGAGGAGCATTGTTTAGAAAAAGATTGTACTCATCCAAATACATGGAAAGAATTGCTCAGTAATTTTACCCTCTGCTGCAGCTCGTACTGTACATCTTCCTTGCAGTGTACGACTACAAAGTACTGCAGGCCGTATTCAAGTGCCACATGACGAGCCGACGCATAACCCACGCCTTAAAACAGCCGTGGCAAGCGCGCCAGGAGCAAGTGCTGTGAGATCATCTTCCAGTGGCAAGTAAGAGAAAGGCTTGGCCTCCGGTTGGGCCAACGAAGTACTTTTGTGGTAAGCTCCACTGGCAGGCAGCGGCAAGGATGCGCCCACCACCTAGTCTACCTTTGGAACAGTCCAAGTACTCCTGCCACCCCTAACCATCTAGTACTTTGTTAGTCAGTGGTATGATAGGCACCGTCCAGTAGGAAAGTTTTTCTCGGCGATAAGATTTGCTCGTTGCCTACCATACTTCACCGACCCCACGCTGACGACCTGAGTGGGAGACCATTCCACCTGCGGAGTAAGGTTATTTCCTCCCAGGAGTAACGCCATTCCACTGAGGTTCCTCTGCGGTCATTGGAACTTGGGAATTTACAAAGTCTAGCTTGCTTTCAGCATGACCGTCACGAACTATGGATTTTATAGTCAGACTTCGAATATAAAGATCCGTTCAACCGGGTGCAAGTAACAAACAGGTGACCTGTTATATACAGCAGTTGGGCACGGACAGCATGAACAACAACAGTACTATCATCATCCAAGGCCTCTCAACGGGGACTTAGTAATGCACAATGATGCTTAAATCACGTCAATCCTGGAGGGCAAGTGCCCACTTTTTGGCGTTGTAAGCCTAGTATGGGACGATCATACTCCGTACTGTAAGACAAATTTTTGTATGCTGTGGTCAGGAGTTAAGGAATACAATTTCAAACATTGCTGCAGTCAGAAGTTCTGATAACCGAGGATCAGTCAACATACCAGGGCGCAGAAGCCGATCAGTTTCCACGATACAGCGACGACGTTGACACTGTAAAAAAGGAAGACGCCGGAGGCGAAGTATAGTACATCGCCATGGCCGGGGTGCCAAGTAAGGATGCGCTTGGCTGGAGAGGGTACATCACGTGGCCGTGACAGTATCTACGGGGGGAGGCGAGCCTGAGGCAAAAGGCAGAGTTTTTTTAGACCTCGTCAGATTGGCTCAAACCGGATCAACTGGTGAACAAGTCGCTGCTACTAGTACCCTAGATAGTATAGAATGTGGGATTTCGGCCAACAACCCTAGGATCTTGCAGCTGGCCAAAAGTTCCAAATAGAAAATGTATTATGGCTTCTAGTCGAATCGACAGCGTTTCAATGCGGGAAGTTCCTTGATCTTGATCGGAGTTTTACACTTTTTAATCCATGAATTGTTCTTGATCCGGTTGACCAAAGGGGACAAGCAGAGACAGCGCGAGAAGGAACTTCCAGCAAGTGAGTAGTGACGGAGGTACAACAGGGCCAAAATAGACAGGGCCCAGCCCATCATCATCTGGCAACACAGGCAGAACCGCCAGAACCAACTACGCCGCCACTCTGTTTCGTTTAGCCTTTTTAGAATTTTCTCTGGATTTTTCCCATTCCCCCTTCCTGTTTGGTGCAATGGCCGTTTGGCCTGCGCTGGCCGGCTTGCCCTCCTGCTGCTGCTTCCCTTCGCTTCTTTTTTGCACGCTGAACCTTTTTTTCTCACCCGGACCGTCCCCAATAATTCCATCGCCGGGCTGCCAATAAGCAAGCAAAACCTTCCCAGTGCGCAGGCCTGCCAACCACTGCCAGTGCATTATTCCCTTAGTTTCGTAGTCATCGTCTTTGCCTCTCCTCCCCGTTCTCCGTCCCACAAACCTTCTTCCTCTTCCCTACTTCTTTTCCTCCCATCCCCTCTAAACCTCCCCTCCTAATCCAGTCTGGTTTCAAATTTTTTTTCTCCAATATCTCCACATCATATCCTATTCTCTTCCCCTTCCCCCCTTTTTTCTTCTCTCTTTCTACACCGTAATAGAGGTTAGATCTGGGAGATCGTCTTGTTCTTCGTTTAGTATTCCTCCCCAAGGTCTTTCTTTACCCTGTTCCTCTTTCTCACTCTGTGTTACTCTTATTGATCCCCTGCGTATTGCCACTCGATAGAGACGCGGGGACTTTTTACTTCACTTTTCCATTTTCTTTCCTTTTGTCCTGTACAGAAGAAAAGAAATTTGCAGTGTTCGCCCGCAAGGACAACATCCGCTGAAAAATCGCTTTGTTCAACTACCAGCATAGTACGTTTTTTTTTTTTTTTTTTTCTTCTTCTGTGCCGGCTCCTTCCAACAACATCCAACGCGTTTTGCTCATCTGTCTTCGGTGTCCACAGTTCGAAATACCGCAAATATGGCCGACAGCTTGAAGATGGGAAACCTTTCCCTCAACGAGTCTCAGCACGCTCCTGCCGCTGCCCCCAACACGGGTCGCGCCGCTTACATCCCTCCCCATCTTCGCGGACGCCAGATGGGTGGAAACATGGACGGTGCTGCAGCTGCCCCTCCCCCCGGTCCCGCCGCTGGCCCTGGCAACTCCTGGGGTGGTCCTAGGTATGTGATATCGCATTACGGGCGTGTCCCATTTCGCGTTGTGTTTAGTGACTAACTGGCATGATTTTGCAGAGGCGGCCCTCGCGGTGGCCAGTGGGCCAACGCCAACGCCCCCGATTTCAGCCCTCGCGGTCCCAATGGTAACACTAGCTGGAGCCCTCACGAAGCTCGCCGGCCCTTTAATCCAAATGCTTACGGACACCCAGGTCACGGAGGCTCTTATGGAGGAAGTGGAGGTGGTTCTGCCCGAGGCTCTGGAGATGGCCAGTGGCGTGACGGCAAGCACATTCCCGGTCCTGCCAATCCCCGTCTCGAACGCGAGCTTTTCGGTCTTCCCAACGATCCCACCAAGCAGAACACCGGTATCAACTTCGCCAATTACGACGACATCCCCGTGGAGGCCTCTGGTCACGATGTCCCGGAGCCGGTCAACGCATTCACCAACCCGCCCCTGGATGACCACCTGATCGAGAACATCAAGCTCGCCCACTACCAGACTCCCACCCCCGTCCAGAAGTACTCCATCCCCATTGTCATGAACGGCCGCGATTTGATGGCCTGCGCCCAGACTGGTTCCGGAAAGACTGGTGGTTTCCTCTTCCCTATTTTGTCTCAGGCTTATCAGAACGGTCCTTCCGCTGCTCCTGCCCAGGCTGGCGGTCAATTCGGTTACGGACGTCAACGCAAGGCGTACCCGACCTCCCTCATTCTGGCACCCACCCGTGAGCTTGTTTCCCAGATTTTCGACGAGGCCCGTAAGTTCGCCTACCGCTCCTGGGTCCGCCCTTGCGTTGTGTACGGTGGTGCCGATATCGGTTCCCAGCTCCGCCAGATTGAGCGCGGATGTGATCTTCTGGTCGCTACCCCTGGTCGTCTTGTCGATCTTATCGAGCGTGGCCGCATCTCTCTGGTCAACATCAAGTACCTGATCCTGGATGAGGCCGATCGTATGTTGGACATGGGTTTCGAGCCCCAGATTCGCCGCATCGTGGAAGGCGAGGATATGCCCCACGTGAATGACCGCCAGACGCTGATGTTTTCGGCCACTTTCCCCCGTGACATCCAGATGCTGGCTCGCGACTTCTTGAAGGACTACGTCTTCCTGTCCGTCGGCCGTGTCGGATCTACCTCTGAGAACATCACCCAGAAGGTTGAATATGTCGAAGACCACGACAAGCGCTCCGTCCTCTTGGATATCCTCCACACCCACGGCACTAGCGGCCTCACCCTCATCTTCGTCGAGACTAAGCGTATGGCCGATTCTCTGTCCGACTTCCTTCTTAACCAGCGTTTCCCCGCCACCGCTATTCACGGTGATCGTACCCAGCGTGAGCGTGAGCGTGCTTTGGAAATGTTCCGCTCTGGCCGTTGCCCTATCCTTGTTGCCACTGCTGTTGCTGCTCGTGGTCTCGATATCCCCAATGTCACCCACGTCATCAACTACGACTTGCCCACCGACATCGATGACTATGTTCACCGTATTGGTCGTACTGGTCGTGCCGGTAACACTGGTATCGCCACTGCTTTCTTCAACCGTGGCAACCGGGGTGTTGTCCGCGACCTGATCGATCTTCTGAAGGAGGCTCACCAGGAGGTCCCCTCGTTCCTCGAGAGCATTGCTCGTGAGGGCAGCGGCTATGGTGGTCGTGGCGGCCGTGGTGGACGTGGTCGTGGCGCCAACGCTACCCGTGACATGCGTCGCGTGGGTGGTGGTATGGGCGGTCCTCCCTCCTTTGGCGGCAGCAGCTACGGTGCACCTGGCGGCAGCTATGGTGGCGGCGGCAGCAGCTATGGCGCCCCTCCCTCCTATGGAGGCGGTGGTGGCTATGGCGGCGGCGGCGGCGGCGGCGGCGGCGGCAGCTACGGTGGTGGCTACGGCAACCCCTCCGGCCCTACTGGACCTTCTTCCTGGTGGTAAATCAATCACTAGGGGAAGTTGTGGTCTCTGACGAGGCCGTCGGGTCTGATTGGCTTCTTTTTCTTCATTTGCCTCTCCTTTGACGGATACGATCAGAACGAGTCCTGAGTTCTTCTTCTCTTTCTTCTCATCCCTATTTCTCTCTCTCTCCCTCAGGGCCGGCTTTGTCATGACTGCCACGACATAACCTTAGATGCGTTCTAAGAATCTGTTTTTCTCTGCTTGTTGTCTTTTCTATTTCGTTATTCTCCTATGTGCAGGTGTTTTTTTCTGCTGCTGAGCATTTTATCAATGTTGCCTATTTCATCGTTTTGTTTTAGACATGGGTTTCGATGTGGTCCGATCTCCTTATCTCGCTGCTCGTGGTTATACCCGTTTATAATCGAGAGCATTCGGGTCGGCATTGCATGGATATCATAGAATGCGTTGTCTTTCTCCTGC